ATCTCCTCTTTCTCCTGATGATGCTAACTTGGTTAACAAAGATACGAGACTTCCGACATGTTGGAACGCTAGACATGTTTTTTTCGTAAATGATGTATTTTGAAACGCCTTGTATACACATTAATATCATATTTCAAATCGACATGTTTTTTCCTTAAATGATATATTTTGACGCACCCTGTACACTTCGGCGTCATATTTGTTTTTCAATGATGTATTTTGAGATACCTTGTACACATTGAGGGATCGCACGTTGAAAACTAACAGCCTCGTGAAAGTGTTATGTTTTTCTTAAATGATGTATTTTAACGCACCCTGTACACTTAGACGCCATGTTTGTTTTCAATGATGTATTTTGAAATACCTTGTAACATTGAGGGATCACACTTTGAAACGATACAGCCTCATTAATCTGTAATGTTTTTTTCTTAAATCTGATTCATTATTATTAATATATCACTTTCGCGCTTCCAATTTTCGTCGAGTAGTTCACGATTAATTCCAAAACCGGCAACGCTACATTGCCCCATAAACAATGATTTATTGTACAACTGGCAACGCCGAACCTGCCATGCTGGCATGTATTGACATTTGACAGATGCAGTCTTATGAGTCTAGTGTTTACAGTGTCCTTCTTCAACCAATAGATAGTTCAGCTAGTGACTTATAGATGACTCTGTGTGTTCTATAACTTAATTTTCAAACCGGCAACACTACATTACTCCATAAACAATGATTTATTGTACAACTGGCAACACCTGCTTGCACTAGCAACCGGTAAAACTTCGATCTCCATCTCTCTTTGCATGGATTACGTCACACGCGTCTCTCGCTCTTATACACACATACACATCTTTACATGAAATATTAATTATTTCCCAAATCTAAGTATATTTTCCTATCTTCAATATGATAATGACGATTACATTCTACGGAAATCAAAAATAAAAATGCTTTCAAGTACAATGAATGAGTCAATTTCGGTCCCGACAAAACTAACGCTATAAATACCCAACATTCGCAGTTATCTTCAATATCTTACGATGGTGGCTGAGGACAATGTCTACGGCGCGGACGATCCAGGTTCGAATCTCATAACTATAAACTTTTTTTAATTAAAATCACGTGACAAGGAGGTCTGAGCGCTGATGCGGAATCCCAAGGGGGCCGAGGGGTGAGGAAGAGTCGCAAGAGAGCCTGAGCGGTGATGTGGAGTAATAAGGGGGCCGAGTTCCATGCTTGAATCGCTACGATACTCGTTCCATCCTGCGTCGATGACGTCACACGTTTCCCCCACTCCTGTTTGAACCAAAAATTGCAGAAAGTTTAGTTCCATAAGAAAATACATGTGATTTTGGGCTCGTGGTCTCTTTGTTCATCTACTGTTGTGATATAAATAAAATATTGCTATCACATAAATAAGATATTTCATGTTTACAAAGATCATGATTAGCTTCTGTCCAAAATAAAACGAAAATTTTCTGGAAACGGAGTTTGAGACCTATGTGGATGGATAAAAAAGTTTTTCCATTCCAATACCTAAGATTCCTAGAAGCCCTGGTGTTTGCAACGATTAGATTTTGTTTAGAACTTTTTGAAAGGACCACCTGTTGCTTTTAACAATACTTATGAGAGTTTTCCCAAGATTCTGAATTGTTCGAGTCCCCGCCGAGTCAGTTAAAATAATATTATTTGTCATTGTCAAAAAGAATTTCAACTTTTGGTGTTTTGAAATTGAAATTTTTGTCATCCCAATCTTTACATTGTTCATATTTTTTATTATAATTTTCGTTCGTTAGTTCTCATTTATTTTAGTTACTTTTTTCAGTAGTAATAAGGAATAGTTTTATATAGTGTATAAGGATACTTTTTGTAAGATGGGACAATTCTGTATTTTGTGTGGACAGTGTAAAAATTCGAGTAAACATCTGTATTCAGTGCCAAAGGTAAATGAAATATTTCATAATTACTGTCATTCCACCAATGATAAACTATGTTTGTATCTGCCTACACCAAAAACAATATTTTGAATAATCCTTCACCCTTTCAAATCCACCTTCTGCTACTAGAGTGTCATTACCTTCTTAATCATAATATCAAATTGAAAATAAACATTCACTTGTGTTTTTTTTTATTTTTTTTTTTAAATACAACTTTATACCTATTTGCAAGAAAAGTCTACTCATAGATATACCTACAGTTGAATATTACAGTATGCAAATAGATTTATTGCATTTCTACAGAATTATTCTGAGAAGTAAGTTTACACTTACATAAATTTTAACACCCATTTAAAATAGGTATCATGAAATTAATATCAGCATTAAATTTAAAACAAATAAAAAATTAAATTAAAATATCTGAGTTGGTCATGTTCAACTATATCAACAATTATTAAATCATAGATTAAGTTTGAAAATCACTGACTGAGTAGGGCTCCATGTCAAACAAATAGTTCCCCATCCTAACAGAATGTTGTATCTTTTTGAAATCCTGTGGAAAATTATTGTAGAACATGAAGGTGTTGTTGTACTGTGGACTTGTATATTTTTTTTATTGCGTGGTTAAAAGACTACTCCTGTATGATTAGAAACCTAATATTCTCTTAAATATATACTTGTAGTAATTGTTAGCATATAGAATTCCAAGCAACCAAACAGTATGCTCTTTTAACTTTACTTGTTCTCAATTGGTGATTTGAATGGTTTTATTTGTGCATTGTACCTGATAAAAATCTGTAATTTATAGGATGAAAACAAACAGAAACAGTGGATGAATGCTGTCAGGAAATATCTGCCTGATGGTGCTTTTATTTGCTCAAAGCATTTTCCCATCTATTTCATTGGTGAGAAAAAGCTATTGAAGGGTGCCAAACCATCATGCATGTGAGTATTCAGTTTCTACAGCACTACCTATAAATCCTATCAGAGATTTGTATATTTTTTCAAGGTGCACTTATAGAGAAGTACTTAATTGTACGAATTTCAAGAAAACATGCACCATTTCCAGAATCAGTTTTCCAATAATTTCTGCAGTTGGAAAGTATCCATTGAATAAGGTATCAAAAGCAAATGTGATCACATACAAATCAAGAGAGAACACTTGGTGTTATTAAAATGATAAATATAAAATTTTTCATATATGAAATGATAAATAACCCCTTCTAGATTTACCTATCTTGAAAAAAAAATCTTTTCAACCGGCTGTTCTCTAAGATTGACCCTCAGAAGTTCACAGTTGGAAACAAACACTCTATGCCATTCATTTCTCTTGAAGATAAAAGATTGTTGTTTTCGGTTCAACTCAAGCATATCAATGTCATTCTACAAATTTCACATAAGGCTCATAACGGACTTTAAAGAAAGTTATTAATAACATAATATGAGAAGAGATATTTATGTAACCATTATTGGATTGAATCATGTTGAAAAAGGATATGTCAAAAATTGTACGAATGTGTGGAGTTTAGTTATAAAATTTAATATTATTTTTCATTTCAATGATTGCAACTGCTGTTTTGTTCAATATTTTACATCATATTTGCGCTTGATACCTATCATAAAAATACATCATTATTCAATACGGGCTAATATCATTCTATAAATAAAAGGTGTTCAGTGGAAGAAAGGGGTAAAGTTGAAGAAAATTTTCTACAAGTGTCTGATTCACAGAAAATTAACTTCATTAACTTCACTCTGTATTTCCTAATATTTCATATTTGTCAATATCTGTGTAAGCGTACTGCTTACACATGGAAATAATAAATACGGTATTATTATTATTATTATAAACAGCCTCTTCTGAGAACATAATCAGAAAGAGGTGTATCTTTTAGAATCTTGGGTTATATGTAGGAGTCACACGTTAAAAGGTAAGATTTCTTTAATCCCTGTTCGCACAAGTTTCGACTTCTGAGGGCTGCCGTTCATAGGGGAACAACAGCTGGTTAACAGAAAAACCTATTTTAACCAATACCATTTTAGTTTATTGTCCATGTTTATTTACAGGGATCTAAATTTATTCATTTGTATATAGGTGAACCCCAATTTTTGTTTACAGTAAATTATATAAAAAAGAAAGCTCGTACTGTACCACTTATACTACTACTATAATTATTATACGACACATTTATGTGTGTTCAATGAAGGACAATTAAAGTAATGAAAAACATTTACATGAGCAAAGAGTGAGATTCTTAAAAATATTTTCATTATCACAGAAGAAATTGATTTTATCAGAGTAGTTATTTTCAAGTCTCAACATTTCAGATAAAGGAGAATGATACCAATAGTTAGTTAAGTGATATGGTGTAATAAATAGCTTTATTTGTCTAATGGACCTCTATGGAACATTGAAAGTTATAAAGGAGAGAATTTCTGGACAATCAATTATACCAGAAATAATTTTGAATGATTTAGTGTAACTTTGATTCTGAAATCTGCATATATTTCTAAAATGGAATTGAATGTATGAACATATCCTGCCTAATTTGGTTATAGTTAGTTTCCTGGCTTTGCCCTTGTCATTTTCGGTAAAAATATTCAACTGCAACTGAGACAGACATATTCAGTTGCGTTGATGAAGTAATCTTACAGAATAAAGTTGATATTGAAATTAGTTTCAATTATTATGTTGTGACTGGCTGAAGGTGACGGTCATAGTTGCAGTCAAAACGTTTAGAGTTTACCAAAAAGACAATAGCAAAACCTGGAAACCAACCAGAACATTCAAATCAGTCATAAAATCATACTACTTGAGTTACTGAAAATTATCTACGAAGGTTGCTGAAATTTTCCCAGATTCAAAGATTAATTTTCAATTTTTTTATAACTGATTTTATTTTTCAGTTCGCAGTTGAATTATCCAGTGGAAAAAATTCCCTTTGAAACATGAACAACTGAAATACTTGAGTCCCTATATTTAGTTCTGTGGTCAGTTTTTTCGAAGAATATTTGATAAAGCATCTGCCAAATATCTACTAAGGATTGTATGATCATTTATATAGTTTGATTAATATAATTAATTAACATGTATTGATCTAAAGGTTAAAACATGTTTTAGACAAGTAAGTTGATGGATATACTACTAAGTGGTAGAAGATCATCATGAAAAATTAAGATTTTAGACAAGTTCTATTGTGATAGTCATTTTTATAATAAAAATATGTATTTTGATATTCTTTATTTTTCAGTGAAACCCCTCCTAAACTTTCACTAAACATTTTTCCTGGTCCATCCTGTAATATTCTACCCGATTCACTAGACTCTGTTCCAAAACATCCATTGGTAAATTCTAGCAGTATTCAACTAGAGAATATTCCTAACCCCATCTTGGTTTCAAATACTTGATGACATCCAAAGTAAACCAAGATCATTTGGAGGTGATAATGTTCACATATCCATAACAATTCCCATCAACTTTGTTGTTATCATTTTCAGCACTTTTTGGGATGATGACAGCTGCAGGTGGATGCAATACTCATCCCGAGTCAATTCAAGTTGGATAAATATTCCGCCTGATGTCTCTCTATTTTCTGATAAAACCGCCCAGGGAGAGTAATTTTAGTGGAGGAGAAATGATGAAATCCCTTCTTCATATTGGAGATCTGAAAGAAAAAAGCAATATCAGGTGTTTTTGAGAGGGAACTTAAAAGAAACCTATTGTAGGTTGTGAACACCACAAGGAAAATTTGTCAAGAGAGGCACTGACGACATATTTGATCTCTAGATTGAATATCTGCTGTGCTAAAGAGCATAATGAAAGAGCCCTCGAAAATAAAAATTTTGAAAAAATACAATTTTTCTGTGAGTCAAATTTCGAAAAACCTGAAAATATCTGTTGAGATATGATACTCTCATCAGCTGTATGTTTTTTTTTCAATTTAACTGAATATTTTCAAAAAACTACCTGAATCATAATTGATGAACACATCATTTGAAAAAAAAGGACTCTTTTACACACTCAATGTAAAAGGTTGTAGTAAGCAATTAAAGTATATCAGAAGACATTTTGTATTTGTATTCTAAAAGAGAATAAGCTATTTTCATCACATCTCTTTCCAAGGTCACATTCTAACAATAAACGGCAAAGCTTTGGAATTCACTGCTTCAGAAGGTGTTCCTTTAGGCTTGCAGTCTGCAGAAATTCAACCATGGTGTTCTCTGAACATTACGGTATTTTACTTTTCGTGGGAACCTGAATATAAAACAAATCCCATCACAAGGAAACTAGAAAATAATTTACCACTGATAAGGACATTAAATACCATTTCACCTCAGATCGATTAAAAACTAACTTAACTTTTAAACGGTTTGACATATAAACATGAAAAAAACTTTTGGGGGCTATTACCGATACTATTTTTAGAAAAAAAAAAACACATTGTGATTGCTCGATAGATGGCTGGGGGAGGCACTTCAACTTTTTTCAAAATTTTAATTGGCATGGGGGTCAAGTGTCAAATTAGTCTATCAGGGATGGCCTGCACATGAAATCATAGCAAAAATATGAATCAATGAAATCACATTAAAATAATAATGGAAGATATTTGAATTGAACTTTGTTCAATTTATGCTGGAATTGTGAATTTCGATAACCATAATTACAGAAATCTCATAAACTTTAATATACTTTACAGACAATAAATAGTTCACATTCTTTCTGAACCAAAGTAACGAGATATGTATGCATAAGAAAATCAATGTCCTGATTCATGAATAAAACTGCTAGGTGTGATATGTATACATCCATCCATAGTCACTATGAGTAGATGTATTTTGGTTGAATATCTATTAGAAAACATCTGTGTTTCTACTAATTACATTGTTCTTCATATATAAACCGCTTATTCCAAATTTTATGCATCAAAACTTTTTTATCAGTAATTGAAAAAAAATCAGTTAAAAGTTGGTGCTTATCAAAAGGATCTCTTAACAGGTAATCGAAAAGTTCAACAAAGAATTCACTGGGAATATTTCTTTGTAATCTAGTGAATTATTAGGAAGGTCCTCATTAAATTTTTATAATTGTTTTCAATCTCACTGGTATGTCATCACCTCATTATTCAAATCATTTTCGATTAATATTCCATAGTTCCGTAGTTATTGAAATATTTGTTGTTTCATGAATTCATAACAGTATATAAGAGATGATTGCTTTTGATTTTTGTTCTTTTTTTGAAACATTAAAATATTCCCAATGATTTTTTTCTGTATTTCCAAAAATAGAGAGACTTCTGAATGACTTTTTGAAAAGAATGATGTTTAATGCACAAACCAAGGACTCAACACAACTTTCCCCATCACCCATGATGGAATTCCTTGCGAAACACCAACTTCTATCACAAATAACTTTTTTCTGTGACATTCAGAGTAAAATAGGTTTTAATTTGTTGCATACTTCTTTTGACACACTGCATTTATATATAACACAGTTACACATTCATTATCTCATGTTTTATTGCTGAAATTTTCTTCCTATCATACCTATATATTTGATTTTTTTGTGAAGTTTGAAAATACATTTTGGGAAAATGTGGAAGTTATCATTATTTCTCACCTTCATGATTTGACCAGTATTATATGTATGTAATTTGTGTGAAAAATAAATATTATAGACATATTCAAGTGATTTGTCAAATGAGTAGGTAATTATTGTTTGTATATTGGTAATATAATTGATTTCCAGTATCAATAAGTGGAAAATCAAAAATTTTCACTGTTTCTTGCACGCTGTTGATTCACTTTTCTTGATGCAATAAGAATATGATGGCAATAAAATAAAAAAATATAAGAAACCTTAATCAGATTCTTGAAGCAAATATTGTAGTTCTATGTGTTTTGATATAAATAAAATATTGCTATCACACGAATATGAAATTTTCTGTTTACAAAGATCATGATTAGCTTCTGTCCAAAATAAAACGAAATTTTTCTGGAAACATAGTTTGAGACCTCTGTGGCTGGATACGATACCATAAACATGTATTCAAGTAAATAATCTTTATACTTACCACCTATTTTGCGGAATTCGTTCCGATAAACAACCAGTGTCAAGTACATAATAACTAATAACATCTGCCAACATTTCTTGGGTTGAAATATCAAGAAATTACACGAAATTTCTTCAAAACTTTGCTTGGGTTGAAACTTCAACTAATAAATCACCAGAACTAGACACTTATCTTTCGATTTAATACTGACAATTCGTCAATAACACTTAAAACACAAAAAATTCATTAACTAACTTCTTAAGTTTTCCTAAAAGCACAGTATGAAAAATGAATGTGGAATTATTAAATATAAATAATATAAATTCAAATACACCCTGTGTGGTCTATGATTACAGTTTACTGTAAAGACTGCTTGCGCCATCTAAAACGGCGTTGAACTCTGCTAATCAAAATAGCCATAAATCCCTCATTTTACCCCAAACGTTTGCAGATATGAGTAGATGCACCAGGGTTTTTAGACATCTTAGTTTAAGGTTATGTCACAGCTTACTTACTATACTTTCGGCGGCACCTTTGAAGTCGCAGTCTACGAGTAAGCGAGACAGAAGTATTGCTTTCTCTGTCGCACAGAGGGGAAAAGTCAGGGCCTGATTAAAACGATTATTTATTTAAGTAAAATTTTTAATTTCTGCCTGACAGGATCGGATTATGATTTTTTGAATCTTAATTTTAATATTACGATAAAACTAGGTTTGTATTTGGAGTTAATAAGGATTATTAAAAAATACATTACTCAAACTGATTTGGAAAATAATAAAATTATGCGCGAGGGGATCGACGCAAACCGTTCCCGCCAAGAGAGTGTTTTAGCTGTATAGTAAGTAAGCTGTGGTTATGTCATCGAGAAGAGAGAAGGCAATAAGTCAGATTTTTTTATCTTTTCATTTTAGTGACCTTGAAAAATCAGTTTAGTGTTCGTATATCTACTTCAACGAGTTTCTATGCTCTCGTTCGAATATTCCTAAACTACTTCTGATTTTTTTTAAACGGTATTATTAAGCTTGCTTGTTTGTTTTTTTTTGTTTGATAATACAAAGTACTTTAGTAAATTGAGGGACCATAGTACTTTGGTTAATTTCCAGTTAAAACAAAACATATTTTTCATAAAGTGTTTTATCTAATAATTATTTCATTAATTAGTTCAGGAATAATTGGGGAAAAAGCTTAAACAAAGATAATATTGGCAACTTTCATAAAATAAAGGCAAGTTTATCAATAAAAAGTTGGGAAAGACTTTCCTTTATTTATAAAAGCTCTTAAGTGATTGAAAAATGAGGGTAAAATTAAGAAAACAGCTATATCATCAACGAAAATGTATGGAAAAACATTTAAGATGTCTACAAAAAAATTAGATCTTTCACTATCACATGAATTTGAAAATATGTTTTTGGGATTGGAAACATCAATTTTATAATTAGGTAGTGTTCACTATGCGTATATGGTGATTTATTTCGCCCCGGAGCGCCAATTAATTTTTATTGTTGTTTTTATTTTATTTTTATCGTTGTTTTAATAAAATTAAACGATAAGAGAAAAATATATTACAATAAGAATTTTAGACAAGACACTGAAATTTGGAAAAATTAAACAATTGCTCTGACAACAGAATTATTAATGACGATGCATGTTTATTTTTCTTTTTAATTTTTTTAAATCTAACTTTTGAACCATATATATTAGCATATCTTATCGAATGAAATGTTTTCGCTTTTAGAAACAAATTCATCGTTTGAGTAGCTCCATTATCGGTAGAAATTATTTTCTATAGAAACCATTACTTGGAGACAAGTCATTTGTTTACCGTTGTTGTAGAATAAACAGCTCTAGTGGAATAAAATAGGAATAGGAGATTTTGTTTACCACTTCTGCTCATTTGACACGTTAAGATTAGGTTAGGACGTTTACGTAGTGATAAAAATATATTTATTTTTATTCTGTTCTTTCTATTAAAATTAGTTTGCAAAATGTCTCTCCTTTATCATAAATCAATGGCTGTTCTGGATAAAATTGTTCCATCAAAATTACAACCGCTATGGATGCACCCAGCTGGTGAGTACCCACTTACTGAATTTTTCAGAGTGGAAATTATGAAATGTTTTGTTCATAGGCCCCAAAACAATTTTTTTCTGGGCACCGATATTTAAATGGGTAAGTTAAACCATTGTGGATGAGTGCAGAATTAAAACTGAAAGTGGTCTATATATAAATTTGTCTGGAAGGAGAGGAATTCAAAAATATCTTAGAAGATATTGCAAAATCTAATCAGTTTTTCTTTCGGAATATGCCAATATTCTAGTGGAATGGAAGTTGATCCGTTCAATTTATAAGTCCGATTCCTTGAAATGGTCATCAATGAATGCATCAGAAAAATTAAATTATTGACTGTAAAAGTAATTTTCGAATACTTGGTTGAATAAATTTTTTTATGTTCACTAAAATACATTATTTTGTTGAAAATATCTTCCACTAATAGAAATTCAATCAAATTACTTCAGAATTTTTAAGGTACAGTTGTTTTTTTTTAATTTACAATACAAATACAATATTACTAAGGCAATAAAATCATTATTTCATAAGGCTTTGAAAGAATACAATGAACTGCTTATACACATAAAAGGTCGATTTGATCATTTAACAGGTTGCACTTGCAGTCTTACGCTTAGGAATTTCCAAGGATTTCAAAAAATAAACTCCAGATTTTTCCAACAAGAAATGGGGAACTCCAACATATTTTGGTGGAAGAGCAGAGATAATTGCGGGTTTCTTCAGCAGAAATAATGTGGAAGTGGCATTCATTCCACATGCCAGGTTATATGATTTCCTTTTCAATGCGACAGCTGGTTAACGGAAAAAACAGATTTTTTAAACAGAACAGATGCCAAAGATAAAGTGGACAAGATGAAGGAATCTGGAGTTTATGAGCTTAAGTATCCGGAGTGTAATAGTATTTATGTGGGACAATGTCAAAATTTTTCAAAACGGTATGCTGAACATGAAAGGCATTTCAGATTAGGTAAAAAGGATTAAACATTTTCAAACCATTCTTTGGGATGCAACCACAAGATACTGATTTTAAACGATACGGAAATTTTGCACTATGTAAGGAAGAGTTGCAAACTTGATTATTTGTTTGAAGGTGATTGACACTGTTTCATTTTGAATTTCACTAGTCTGGACTTCCATTGTCTAATATATAAAAATGATTTGAAATCCCTGAAACAACCAAAAAAGAAGAATTAAAAATGAATAGCTGAAAATAACAATTATATTAGGCAAGAATAACCCGAAATGAAATAATAGTGAAATAAAATATAAGTAAAAATAGAACGATTGAACAAAAAATCAAGAAATAAAAAGTGGAGAGATTCCAAGTCACGTTAGTTTACGACGTTTCGATTGTTAGTGTCTACAATCGTCTTCGGGTGATGACTTAATTATATTAGGAAACTTGGAAATGCATAAGCATTGCTGGTGCAACCTGTTAAATGATGAAATTGATCTAGTTTACTTACCGGTTTTCAAATTAGTGTACCCAAATTAGGTAAACAAACTTCAGGTACTTGTGATGCACTGTTTGGAATCTGGTGTGGTAATGAATTTAATCTTCCTCTTGAAGATGATCACTTGGTGATCGAAACGCGTGCTAAGGTGGTAAAATAACGGTTTGGTATTGGGATAAAACTCTAGTAATATTCAAAATTCAGGTACTCAACTAAGTTGTAATCAATCATTTTTGGTTTAATGTATAACTTTGAAAATGTCCTCATAGGACAAAACTGCATTAACGTTAGTTACAAATAAAAGGGGTAAAAAACATAGAAAGTTTCATTTCTCATCTTTTGTTATTGATTTTTCATAATTTTTTCAATTGTATGTATATTAGGATAAGTTTATTTATTTATTTATTGTCTTTCCAGCAATCAACTCGTGAAAAAATACAGGAAAATTGTGAAAAATGTCAAAAAGTAGTATAACAACATGATACAATACAGATTTGAAAAAACTGTTATAGATATTCTCATAAATATAAATACACATACATGTTTACATACATAAATGCACATTAGTTCGCATATACATGAAAAGCATATTGCCTACATATTCCATTTAAAATTAAAGTTTCTTAATTAAAAAATTCTATGGTGTAGCAGTTTTTGCGGAGTGTTTTTTCAGGAGATTTTTGAAAATAGTTAAAGAAGCTGCATTCTTTATGTGATCTGCCAGAGAATTATAGCATTTGCATCCAATATATTCAAAGTTTTTTTGATACCGGACGGTGATATGCCGGTGGGGTAAAATAAGGTTTTTTCTTCTGGTATCATGTTCATGGTGTGTTCTGATGGCATTATAAGTGGCTTTATTTTTGAAAATGAAACACGCTTCGAGGATGTATGTGCTCATAACAGTCAAAATATTAAATTTTTTGAAAATCTCTCTGCATGACTCTCTTCTACTCACTTTTGCAATTATTCTGATTGCGTATTTTCGTAATAAGAACACCCTTTGTACAGAGGAACTTGCTCCCCAGTTTAAAATACCGTATCTCATATGAGAATGGAAGTGGGCAAAGTATAAGACAGAAGGATATTTTCACTGCAATGACTCGACATAAACTTGAGTGCATAACATCCTTTTCTAAGTTTTCTGCAGACAGTATCAGTATGAGAAATCCATGAGACTTTGAATCAAAGGTAATGCCTAGCATTTTGATAGATCTAGAAGAAGACACGACGTTATTGGTATTTTCAAACAACAAAAGCTGGTTGTGTTCCCGACTATTTGAACAAAACATCAGGGCATTAGTCTTTGATTTATTAATTATTAAATGGGTTTTGTCTGACCATGTTATCACCTTAGCATAGGTAGTCTCAGCCAATAATTTTAATGATACTAAATCTTCTTCTATGATCAAAATGTTTGTGTCGTCTGCATAATATGTTGTAATAATTTTATTGTGTTCGTTCAAGTATGATATGAGGTCATTGGCAAATACTATGAATAGAAGGGGGCCTAATATCGATCCTTGAGGGACACCTTGCGTAATGCCTAAGGGATTACTGTTATTGTTGTTCATTTTAACAATTTGCTGTCTTGTCAGATACATAGGATTCTAGCAAGCTATACGGCTTTCCCCTCAGTCCATACCTTGACAATTTTGATAATAGAATCTCATGACTAACACATTCAAATGCTTTAGAAAAGTCTATGAAGAGGCCCATAACAAGTTTTTTATTATCAAGAGATTGAATTATTTTGTTTTGGAATTCAGATAAGGCTGTTTCGGTACTTTTTTAGCTGTAAAACCTTGTTGCGAGGATGATAATAACTTGTTTGATGTGAAGAAACTGGTTAATTAAAATTTGATATTCAATTCATATGACTTAGATATGCTGGCTAACACACTTATAGTTCTATATTTGTTAAGGTCATTGTTATCTCCTTTTTTAAAGATAAGTGTTACTCTTGCTATTTTTAAATTTTTGGAAAGACGCCTTTTTTCTGTAGATAGGTTTATAAGATAAGTTAATGGATGGGATAATTCATTTTGACATTGTTTAAGTAATTTGTTAGACATATTGTCAATACCACAAGAGTTAGAGTTTTTTAGACCATTAATTATACTTATTACATCATTTTCTGTAATCGGGTGCATGAAGAAACTATTTAGATTATTGTCGATATTTTGATGTATGAATTGCCAATCATATTCGCTTTTGTTTATCAGTGGTTTTGTGAAATGTATGTTGAATTTATTGGATAACTCTGTCTCATTCAAAGATTTGTCATTTTCCGTTATTACTATTTTACTATTATTTGTTGTAGATTTCTTTTGCAAGTTAATAATATTCCAGGTTGTTTTCGACTTGTTATCAGAGGTTGAAATCAAATTGTCGTAGTATGACTTGGATGCTGCCTGTAGCCCCTGCTGATATTCTCGATTTAAAAAACTACTTAATTCCCTGAAATGAGGATCATGTTGGGCTAGACTATTGTTCGGGAATGAGATCTCGAAATAGTGTAACATGACACCTGCAAATACTTGGTAGGCTAAGTTGGGACAGTTTTCATTCCGTAAATAATTTTTGAAAATATTGATGTTCTCATCTGAAAAGTTGCGCTTATAATAAAATGGTTTAAATGCCGTTTACTGGCAGCTCATCAAAGAGCAGGTCAAGGAATTGCGAGTAGTGGTCTGAGAGATGCATATTCACTACTGATACACTATAGGGATTTATAGTCTTGATCAAGAAATTATCAATACAAGTTTCTGAGTTGCCTTTAACTCTCGTCGGGATTTTTAGTGTGACATTAACATCAAAACATGATAATAAGTCTTCGAGTAATATACAATACGTTATGTGAGAAATGAAGGTAATGTTGAAGTCGCCTCCAATAATCACTGTCATTTTTTGGTGAACATATTTTACTTAAGATATCACTTAGTAGTCCCAGAAAATCATAAAAATCTCCATCAGGAGGCCGATAAATAACAATACAAATTATTTTATGTGCAACTATTTTTATGGCACAAGTTTCCTATTCAATAAAGATTCATTCATGCACAAATTTTCTCTGGTAGTGATATTTTCAGAAATTATAATATACCTACCAATTTGCAGATGTGAACACATTTTGCTGGAATTCTGATGGAATTTATTGTAAAATTTGTTCGTTCACCAAAACTTATCTTGTACTTTGAGAAAATTGTCCCAATGCAAATCGATGGGAGTGTTCGTATTTTTACTTCAAATACACCACTCATGTGGTGTATTTGAAGTAAAAATTTGTTGTATGAATCAGCCATTCACTTTTGAAGCTTCTCAATGTGTTTAATATAGACACATTTGAGAAAGTATTGTATTTAGCGAAACACAAGTTACACTAAACAAGCAATTTAGGCTTTAATATTCCTATTATTTTTATTTTTTTAAACAGAAAAGAAAATTATAGGTTTTTTACTTTATAACTTGTAACTCGAATGTAACAGTGTGACAATAAATCGCAAAAAAATTCTGAGTGAATTGTTAATCTCTCATAATCTCATTACAATTTTATCGCATCTTGTAGCTACGTAATATATATCAAAAATCGTAGTGAAATCATCTAAGAATCACCAGAAAAATATATGAATATTACTGGAGTTTTTTCCCAACACCAAACCGTTATTTTAACGCATTGACACGTGTTTCGATCACCAAGTGATCATCTTCAAGAGGAAGATCAAACTAATCATACTTACAAAGTTATCCTTATTTATACCATAGGTACCTGCTTCTCAAGTGTCTTAAATTAATTTCACAATATTGCCTTATCTACTAGTATTGAATTAATTTTACAATGTGTCCTTATGTAATAGTCAGGTGAATCTAATAATTAAAATATTATTTTAACAAGCTATATAAAATTGATTTCACAATATTGCCTTTCCTACTAGTCTTGAGTTAATTTTACAATGTGTCCTTATGTAATAGTCAGGTGAATCTAATAAATAAAATATTATTTTAACAAGCTATATCATATCCTATCAGGTATTGGTCCACCATCGTTATTCATAATATTATTATGTATACTTATTTCTACACTCTCATAGGCATCTAGATGCCTGTTGTTGTTAACTTGTCTAACTAATATTAGTAATATTAATGAACAGAGGTCTATGGAATGGTTCTGTCGCAAAATATTAGGGCAACCACTGATTTTTCAGGTCCATATTTCAATTAAATGAAATGAATAAAAACACTTTTGTCTTAATACCACTGGCAAATTTTATTTATATGACCGGTTTCGGGTTTGACCCCAGTACCAGTCGTATAAATAAAATTTACCAGTGGTATTTAGACAAGTGTTTTAATTCATTTCATTCAAGTGATAATGAATTATCACAATGTAAACAAGTGATCAATAACACATATCCATATTTCAAGTAAGTGTTCCTTATGTCTTATTTTAATAATAGATCTTTTTGTCTGTCCATGATATTTTGCATCGCAGTCCTTGCATTCAATTTCGTAAATTCCAGACTTTTCCGAATTTTCGACTTTGTCTTTTGGACTCCCTAAAATCCTCTGTAGTGTATGACTTGTTTTGAAAACCACCTCATACCTAGTTCCTTGATAATCTTTTCAAACTTCTTCGTATATTGTTGGTATGGAACTGAGATATATTTATCTTGATTTTTGTCGTTTTTAAAAATCGAGATTTCGTTCATTCTTAACCTAAATTTCTTCTTCCTTTTTATGTCATCATGTCATCTACTATAATTCTGGAGAAAGAGGTGTTAACATAACGGTTTGGTGTTGGGAAAAAAACTCCAGTAATATTCATTACTACATCAAAGGTTCCAAACAGTGAATCACAAGAAAAATTTATATTAATTTCTCTCTTTTTCTGTAACAACTAGATATTAGTGGATACCACAGAAGGCAATGACTTGAAATATTGCAGTTATACAAATTTTTTCTGCTTATTTCATTTATGAAGCTAATTTTAGGGCTTGGTGATAGCTGGAATCGCAGATCTGCAAAGACCTGCAGATACAATCAGCCCAACTCAATGTGGAGCATTGCTTGCTACAGGACTCATATGGTCTAGATATTCCTTGGTCATTATTCCTAAGAATTATTCTTTGTTTAGTGTGAATTTGTTCGTTGCTGGGACCCAGTGTTATCAGATGTACAGAGCTTTAAGGTAAATAGTTTTACGTAACACCTACATGCATAATTTTAGAACACATGTTTGTTGAAGAATAGTAATAAATAATAATAGTTGTCCTCCTTTACCAAAAAGAATATGCATATGTACTCTGTGTGAGGAATAATTATTGTTTAGATATTAATGCAGTATGTTTTTCTTTTTCAGTTATAGGCACAACCAGAAGACTATAGTATAAGAGAAAAATTCAAGAATTTTAGGGAAACGTGTGCACAATTTTGAAATTCTGTACAGATGTGAATAGCATATTTTGGAATTGATTTTATTAAAGGTGATATGTTTATTTTCGTTTATTATATTCAAATGAAAACTTCGAGACTCTATCAAACAAAAATTTTCTTTAAAAAATGATTTGAATACTTAAAAATGAGGAATGAAATAATGCATTCAACATTTAAAGGGATTCGGTTATAGATAATAAAGGACAATGAATCTGTTACCTGTATGATACAAACAAAGATGACACATTTCAGAGGCGTGCTGTTCTGTTTACTTATGTTCCAAGTTCCGAAACATTCTGTGACATGACATTTTGTGCACCTAACCTATCTTCCTCTATATAAATAAATAACAAAACAACTGTTGTTTATGTGGCTTGTGGAGGTGGTATTGAACTATAATTCATATTTTGTCTTGTTGATTTATAAAAATAATTTTCCTTTTTCTAAGTAGAATATCTAAGTACGTGTAAATTATTTCAACTTGATATGAAATTTTGACCCCATTTTTTACCGTCTGCCTTTTTCAGAGGACATATTTACAGCCACAAGCCACATGCGTTAAACGAATTTTTTGCCAATGTTACACATGCTTAAACATTAACTCTAGTTTGCATAAAAAAAGCTTTTTTGACCAACATTTTACCGTCTGCCATTCATGCAACCTGAAGGCTAGGTTACGCAACCCACAAAAAAATAATTGGCTGACGGTTACATGGTGTTCTGGCTTAAGCATGAATTTTTTATTTAACGAAAAAAAAAAAAAGATCTAAAATCAATTTTTTACCGTCTGCCAAGCACAGCGTAGACTAACAGAAGCATGAAATGAACAAATTTTCACAAGGCAGACGGTTTGCCTGTTTATTAATAATTTATAGGCAATAGTTGATTAACAATCTTTTCACAGTGTCTCTGAACCATTTTTTACCGTATAAAACTTAGTAAAACATAAATTTCCGTATTAAAAATATAGAGAAAAATGAATGGCAGACGAATAGACCGTGTTTATACAACTGAAAAATATTTTTTTATTTGTATAAAAAAATTTATAACTTTTAACGACATTTTCCCGTCTGCCATTGTTTCCTTACAGTATATATTATTATTAAGTAGGCAAATTGTCAATTGGCTGACGAATAGACCGCGTTTATACAACTGATTTTTTTTTAATTTGAAGAAAAAAAAAGTAAAAAAGTAACCAACTTTACTTGAGGATCATTAGAGCTGAAATCGACGAATTTTTCAACCCAAAATGCCTGCTTGCAGCAATTTAAATGTTCTTTTTTTATTTTCTTTGTTGTAGATTTAATATTAAATGCTCCCTTGACTATTCACGACACAATCCATTGTAGAATTATCTAAATAAGGAAAAAGCCGGATGCGTGCCTGACAGAAAGTCAGGCACATTCAAAAAACAGCAGTCAGAAAAGTTTCTAAAATCATCTTGCAATCCAAGTAACTATAGAAGAGATAGCAAGAAGTTGTTTCTTAAAAGGTTTAATTGAAAAAATATTTTTTAATGAACAGGAACAATTATCAATGCCTTCTTTCTGATCTGTGATGAGATTCTCTTCTATCCCTAGAATACCTCCTGTTATGCCCATTTCTATAATCTCTATGTGAATGTCTCCTATCTTTCTCACGATGTGAAGATCTTGCACTCCTAGATTTGCTTTCATGGTGATCTTTATCAAAATGATCACGTTTTCTATCTCTCTCTTTGAGAATTCTCAACTGGTTAACTTTCTGGCTATATTCTTTAATTTTTTTATCATATTCATCATGTGGTTTTGCTAGAATATTCGAAATATATTCCTGATAGTCGTAACTAGTATTATCAATGTAAGAACTTTCTAAAGTGTGATTCCTGGTTTCTAAATTGGAAGTTTCCATTGCAAAGTTATGTAAGTCAGTTGAATCAAACGTCTCCAGACAAGGAATAGTTGAATAATTTTCAGAGTTGGTAATATTAGGTACAAACTCCCTGGTAGGGTCAACTGAGGAGGTTAAGTCATTATCAAAATCATAAATCAAATTTGAAGCATCAGGTTGATCAAATTGTTCGTCAACATCTTGCATTTCTAGTTGCCTGGCAAGTTCCGCTTCAGCTTTTTGTTTATTTTTCAAATACTCCTGATACATTTCCATTTGGTTAGCAATCAATTCCCGCATCACTTCAGTGCGACTTTTATTACGCCCTGTATGAACTGATTTGTATTTTATCCTGCGTCTTTTAGCGTTTCTTTCTTGTTGGCGCCGATCTTCTTCTGTTAATGTTTTGGAATCTTTTTTTTCAGTGTCATTCATATTTCTGAAAAAATATTAATTCCCAATCAATGAATTCAATTTTTAACCTATTACAACAATCTACAATTTATATAAAAATTTTAACGCTTGATTATATTATCCTTTGTTTAATTGATACTCACATATTAAATTCATTTGGTTCAGGAGGACCTTCAGTGTTTTGTACGCAATAGTTATAGATTGCCAACCGCTCGTCTGTAGAAAATGTGGAGATAAGACGATCACTTGTCATAGGGTCTGGATCAAGGCCATTCCATCCTGAAGAAAATGCTTTGCTTGAGAGGGTGAAAAAATTAGGAAAGATTCACCATAGTGGCCAAATCATGTTGGGACAAAGATGTTACCTTTTGGAAAATATAATGCATTTGAGGAAAACCATTAAAAGAGTGACTTTGACAAACAATTGAGCAAATATTATAGAGTACAACATTCGTGCTGATAGGCTATGGGCAAATGGAAATGGCTATGGGCATTGGAAACTCTCTAAAAACTTACGGTACATAGGGAGACGTGAAAGTTGCTATTGTGTTTTTATTCCACTCAGTCAACCAATTTCCAGGCCGTAATTTAAAAAGGAATAATTCATACAATTATAATCAAATATTACCGAAACACCCCGAAATATAAAATTTAATTTAATTTCTCAGTATGAAGTGAACGTCGAAGATACAAAACCTACAATAAAAAATACAGGTCCGTATTTGAAAATGCAAAGATGGGGTGGCCCAAATCAGATGACACCCTGTACAAAAGATTCATGGACATATTCTGATAGCCCACATCAAGTGCCAATAGCAAAATGTGAAGAGATTTTCAATATGTCTGCGAATAAAGATATTGACAAAAAATTATTTGGGATATTTTGGTTTTTCCTGTATATCTCCAGAACCAAAAGAGATATATTCGATTTTTTCACCTCATTGAATAGGCCTCTAAAATACGCACTGCATTCAAATTATTTACTCTCAACGAATTGAATAAATGAATTTATACGACGAAAATATAATATTTATTCTTGAAAAATATCATTCATAACAAATAAAATAACAAATCTACTATGACAAATGTTAAAATATGTCCAGACGTAACCATTGCTTTTTTGAAAGCGGTATAAATAGATATTCCTTTTATATACTGTCGACAGACACATCGCACCCATCAATAAAACCGACTTGGCTTTTTAGCGGGGTTATTCGTGATATTCTTCAATTTACTTCGAGAGCGCGTTGAATAAACAGCTATACAACATGGAAGCTAGTTGTTCGGGAATCGTGAAGCGTCCGAAATTGTCACCATTGAATATAAATGAAAAAGCAATTGTTATGAATGTATATGACTTTAAGAATACAATATCGGCCCGAACTAAAAAGTAAGGAGGAAGTAGTGCAAAAATGCGCGAGTATGACCGGTGTCAATAGATCGACAATTTTTAGAATTCTCAAGGAACTCAAGGCAAACAACAACTTTTTCAGTTCAGTCAGAAAGAGTAGGACTACATATTTTTATTATTTGTTTCTTGGAAATTACGAATTAACTCGAAATTTCATCTTTAATCGATTAATGTAGAAATTCCGATGACATCTCGTCTTACGAAAATGTTATCTTTGAGATCGACAGAAAACTCAATCGTTGCAACTGACCTTTACTTTGCAACTATCGACAATCGTCCTGTCCTTCACTGCAGCCCTCTACACGTGTTGCGTGTTTGTAAATCTGTTTCGTGAAAATCTCACAATAAAGTGTTTTTTGAATACCGTATGGATTTTCAAGTATCGGCCAATATCATCATATCAATTTGTATTTAGGTCTAACAAATCGACAACCCAAGCTGTGATGGCTATAGTTGATACAATAATAGAGACTGATGGAAAGGGACCTAGTGTCTGCTCTATCTCTATGTGATCTAAGTAAAGCTTCTGACAGTGTAAATCATGAACTCCTACTAGGTAAATTGGAATATTACGAGATTCGTGGCAGAACTTTGGAGCTAATGAAAACCTACTTATGTGGGAGAAAACAAGTTCTTTATACATCTGTAGATCTACGCATGTGGATCCATTTTGCACGGTGTACCGCAAGGATCCATACTGGGACCAAGTCTTTTTGTGGCATATATTAATGAAATTTTCAATTTCTTACTTCCAAGCTTATCCGTTTGCTATGCAGATGATGTATCAACGGTAGAAGCAGACTCAAATGTTAACGACCTAATGGACCTATATTCTAGAACAGATAATGATGCTGAAACTTGGTTGACTTCAATTTATCTCAAACTAAACCGGGATAAGACACAGAAAATTATAAAATCATCAAATAGACAACTAACGAAGAAGCAACATGTAGATTTATTGGGGTCTAAAATTGATGATATGTTAAATTGGGAAGCACATGTTGCTGGTCTCTGCAAAAAACTTTCTACACAACTGTTCCCACTAAGACAGCTGAAAATGTGTCTTTGTCAAAGTATGGTATTACAGACATACTTTTCTCTTTTTACCGGATCATAGCCAATGTTTCTTACAGGGAATGCTGTCGTTCTCTCTTTCAAAAACTCAAAATTTTACCCTTGTCATGTATTTTGATACTCTATAATATTTTAGAGATTCACAAAAATAATTCTAAGGCACTATTAAGGCACTGTTTCTACTCCATCAACGAATATTTGAATTGTGAGACATTCATCTTTCAATATGTTATTTCTAAAAATAACCATATTATATGTAATCAGTGTGTATAACCACAACTATTGTTTAATTATTGTTATTCCTGTATGTCAGTTTGACTTGTCACTATTGTACATTTTGCAGTTAATGTAATGATATAAACTTACTATTACTTCTACTATAGACTTCAATAGGGTATTCATAGAACAAAAATAAATTACGAGAATTATTTTTCATAAGGAACATCAAAATAGCTATAAACCAGTTTTTATTAAAAATAACAGTTGACTTTTCCATCAGTGCAATTTCGTCTTATAACGATAATTTCAAACAAATACAATAAACTGAAAATAATTGATATTTGCCCTCATATATCTAAACACCTCTGTAGGCACTGTGATTACGCTAACTTGAAAACCGATGAATAAATTTACATCTGCAATGATTCCAAATAATTGAGTTTCCAACCCTTGCTTGTAAAGACAATTTTGCAATATTCAATAAAATGTTGGAAACTTATGTGAGCACAAAATAATCTCTGCCGACTTGAAAAAAATTAAAGATTGGTGTGATTCAAACATTTTATCTTTTAACGTAACTAAAGTAAATTTATTATCATTTAGATGCTCAATCAACGAAGTTTTTTTTGAAGACAGATCACTGGAATCTAAAAATAACACTAAATTTCTAGGAGTCTTCATTGACCAGAATTTAAAATTTGTGGATCATGTTAAACAACTCACTAGAAAAGTCTCCTCTGGCTGTTATGCGGTTAGAGTGATTTATAAAGAATTGGGGTTCAGCCCTGCAAAGATTGCGTACTATGTACTCATAGATTCTCACTTACGCTACGGAATACCTTTTTGGGGAGCATGCAGTCCAACTTTATTCAAAAGTCTATTAATTTTACAGAAAGGGGCAATACGGTATACAGGAAACCTTAAACCAAGAGACTCCTGTAGAACCTTCTTCAAAAAACATAATATTCTAACGGTAACTGCATTATTTATACTGGAATCTGTGTGTTTAATAAATAAGCATATATTAAATTTTGCTGCATCCTCTTCCCATTACAACACCCGACACTGCAGACACACTCTGAAACTCACTGTGCCAACTAAAATCATTACCAGAGACTCCATATTTTACAACTGTGGAAAAATGTACAATCATTTGCCTATGGACATAAGATCTGCCAATGTAAATGACTTCCAATTCAGGAAGTTAGTCAAACAATTTCTAACTGATAGACCCTATTATACTTCGGATGAATATTTTAACGACAGCTTTTAGCTGACTTACGCATATTTTTTATCTTTATTCATTAATGAGCTCTTAAGTTGTTACTTTTTATGTTTACTCTTTTATAAATTCGACTTTTTCTCTTTTATATATACATATATTTTATATCCTCCATTTTAACATGGTTTGTACCCATGCACTATTTATATTTTTATTTCAGTTGGTATGTATTGCATTTTTTTAAGTATGTACTACACAAGCTTTGTCTACAAGACTATGTCTTATGATAATAAAGCATATTATTATTATTATTATTAAGGATTAACAGGGTCTTACTAGCTCAAGTTAGTTAAATATTCCTCATACTGAAATACTTGAATAACCAAAAGTTGGAGTGGGAATATGGAATATAAATGTATTCTGTATTTTCAAGAAAGATTAATTTTTCAAAAAAAAAAAGTTTGGTATTCCTCTTCTCCATTTCTATACCTCGACACGTGTTTCGATCACCAAGTAATCATCTTCAAGAAGAAGTTCAAACTGATCTTCCTCTTGGTGATTGAAATAACGATTTGGTGTTGGGAAAAACTCCAGTAGTATTCATTACTACACCCAAGGTTCCAAACAGTGTATCACAAATTATATCTATTAATAAAATAAACTTCCATTTGTAGGAAACTTTATGTGTGACACTGTATACAGGCCGTTTCTTTTATCATGTGGTAACATTGCTATATTCTAAACCATAACAGATACGAAGACGATTTAATTGGAAAAAAGGTAACTGTCATCAGGAACAATACAATGGTCGAAGAAAATTTACTGGGACTCTCGCCCTTCTCGAGTTATAAGAGCAAAACAAAAAATGCTGTTTTCCATTTTTTTCGATTGGAATTGTTATTTCGGATAATTTTATATTCGAAGTGTACTATGACAGATTTTCTGTCATTCTAGTTCTGGCTTTGTATGCTGGACAGAGTGAATGATTTGATGGCAGGCATGCCATAGTGTTATTTGTTTGTAAGAGACGCAGGTACCATATTTCAATTCAATATTGAAAAAATTCATTGAGACATTATAATTCTAAAGGATAAGACAATTTCATTTGTGTTCAGAATAACTTGAAATCTAAAAAAAAAGTTTTTCTTCATGGAAATAAAGTACCTTATGAAGTCATAAAAAAACCTATTCAAATTCGTTACACAAAAATCTAATACGTACTACAATTGGAATACATGTATATTTGTACAACTAACCTTTTAGTGATTTTATAAATTTTTTCTTCATTTTTTATTTATATTTCTGCATATAAATCAAGACCGGTTGCATTTTAGGTATTTTCTATTTTTTAAGAATGCTATACACGTGATCGGATTTTGTCTAGATTCAACTATTTTCTTTAATTTTATTTATTTCACTTTCCTCAAATACATATACCACTTTTCATACTGTGATGGGGGCGGCCATATTCAACGCAGAGGTATTTAAGGTATAAATAAGGACTACATTATATGTATACTTAGTTTGATCTTCATGTTGAAGATGATCATTTGGTAATTTGAACATGTGCTGAGGTGTTAAAAATAACAGATAAGGGTCAATCCATATCAAGTGATCAAAATTAAAAATAAAATTTTCCTTCATGTTTTTATTTCACTATAGTTTTTGGTTTAATGAATTATCACATAAAACAAAATAAAAATTTGGAGGAAAAACATCCAATGTCAATGATTTACCACCTTCCACAATTCCTTGTATGCTTGATTCATCACTTGAGGAAAATATTTTACACTTTAATTCAGTCAAACTTAGAGGAATGAAAGTGTGAAATTGTTGAGTACCTTTAATAGTTTCAGCTTCTTTTATACGGTATTTCAACAAAGATTCTTCCTCTGAATACTCCAAGTTTGAGCAATATTCGAATTTAATACTGGTAATGTTTTCTTCACTCCATTGAAATAGTTGCAGAGGAGTCATAATATGTTTGTCGTAGGGTCTCTGTAAGCTTGCTTTTGCAGCAAGCCGTTTGACTGTCCCTCCCAGTCCGTCACAGGTTCCTTTGCCATGGGCAGTTGCGAAAAAATGCCACTCTGTTTTGATTCCAAAATCTTGTTCATGACTGCAGATATTAATAAAGTTTTTTCGATTCTTGTATTGCGCTGCAGATCCATCTGAGAAATAATAAATCTTTTTCAAACTAGGTTTGTATGTGATTGCTTCTATCATACCTTCATCAAAGTGATTCAGAAGTACTTTTTTCAGATTTGAAACTCCTGGACATAATTATTAAGAATTAAAACTGTAAAACTTAATATTCACTTTACTTTCACAATCACAACTCACTCCTCACTAGTGCATAAGAATACTGACTGCTGTAACTGAAGTACAACTTGAATGGCAGAGAGTTCCTGTCTCTACAAGTTAAGTTCATGTAGAGACATGAAAAGATCTCCCACACTCCTCTGACTCATCCCACATTGTTTTACAACAAACAAATAAATAATCACATTTATCAGTATTAAACAGTAAATTTGTTTTTTGTGGATCTGAAACTAAGGGCCTATTCTAAATAAAAATTAGTTTGTAATAAATGACATTGAACAAAAGTAATATTGCTGTAAAGATATTCAGATAATTTAAATTATGCAGACTGATTTTATATAAAAGTATAACACACTGTAATTAGGCCTAATGGTTAATAATATTTGATTACAATTAAAATCACCTATTAATAAAATCTGTTTAGTAACAAGCATTAAGAGTTCCATAAATCACAAAAAAGTCAAGTTTGATTTAAACAATCTTGAACACTGTGCGTTTTAATATAAACAATTTCAGTTTTGGATATGATTCCATTAAGATCCCAACCTGAAATTTTGTATACATCTTAGTAATAACATGAGGAATATACAGTATTTTTTTGAAAATTTTCAATCATATGCATTTTTTGGAATTTGGTTTTGAAATTTTGAGTTTAAGTTGAAAATATTAAATGTTTTGAATACTATCATGTTGTATATCAAATTAAAGCTAATTCAATTCTAAACAGAATTTCTTTTATTTTACCTTTCTATCTTAATCCAATCAAGAGATATTAATTAAAACGTAAATTCGTGTAAGTACGAAAACGTTTTTTTTTTTAACTTTGGAATAAGATTTTGAAAAAACTAAAAGAGATATATTTTTTTCTTTTTCATATTTAAGTTTCCTTTTCACCGGTGTAACTAATGTAACAATATCAACCCAGAAAAAAATTGTGAGGTAATTGGGATTTGATCACTTGATATGGATTGACCCATAAAACTCCAGTAATATTATATTGGATACACAAATTGATGATGCATGTGTATTTTCAGAAGGGTGCAAACACTTTTTTGATATCTCATCAACACCAAATTATAGAAAATTTATATTTCTATTATGAACCTACCGAGCTAGAATTTGAATTTTTCAATGTCAATTGATCGAGCTTGGAATTACACATTTATTCTCGCTCCATCACCATTTACGAGTTTCCTATGTATAGACCCGAATTGGAATAGCCCTGTATAAGTATTTAGACTATCCCTTTTAATGAGGCTTGATGGAAAACCTTAACCTTCTTAAACAATTGATATAATAGTGGGGGAAAAATTGCTACCAGAATTGTGGTCAACACAAATTAAAACCAGCTAAGGAGCTGTATGTATGATTCTAAAATTTGATTCTGAAATACACACCTGAATATTTTTATGAAAAAGGATATCGGAAAAAGGATATCATATTAATTTCAGTAATGTTCTAATAAGTGTGAATGCATTTATACTGTCTGAAAAAAAAATCTATGTCACCTGATGACAAGTTCACTTGTAATATAAACAGTAACAAACCTGGTTTGAACTTTGAATTAGACTTTCTTGCTTCATTCAATATTTCTATTTTCTTTGAATTATCTGAAAAAAAAACATTCAGTTGGTTCATTCCATAATTGAAAAAATATAAAAATAATTTACCTAGTGATATTGAGCTTTTTGGATTGTGCTGTGGTTCTGATAAAAAAACATCATCAAGAGAATATCCTGATGTTAGCACACAACAGTTTTCAACATGCTTTTGAATCTTCACAACTTGTATTTTATGAGCAGTATTGAAGGGACAATTCAGCATATCATCCGCCTAAAATATGTAAAATATTATATCAATAAATTTTTCTTCAAGAAAGGAATAAATACTTACTTCTTCAACTTTTTTCGGATTCCATCCCAGATAATCTAGAATAGATTGTACTTTGTCTTTTGATGATGAAATATATTGGTCCAAACTTTGTAACTGTTTTTTTCTAACTTGTATATTGAAACTCATAATACTACATTTAAGAATACCGATAATGAAATGGGAACTAATTTGAAAAATTGAAAGATCAAGAGCAGCCAAAACAATACCACTTTGAAGTTCTAGACAACTTACATACTGACAACTGACACGGACAAGAAGTGATTGTCTTCTTCCTTCATGTACTGGCTTGAACGACAAGGGCAATCTGACCAATAAGTTAACTGAATGTTCAGGAGTCATGATGTCAACGTTATAGCAAGCGCCAAACGTGATGACGAGCGATCGCGCAGGTATAGACCCTCCCAACTAAATAACTATTGGATTACGATAAGCCCCTTGCCGGCCAGTATCGTGCCTATAATTAGTATTCAATTAGGGTAGCAAATGGAACATGACTTATTTGTAATTCCTTTTCATATTTTATTTAGTATTATAGGTTGTAGTACAGTTCGTTAAAATGTGGTATAACGATACAATCTTGTTGACTGGTTTTTTATTGGGCGATGACATTTTTTCAGAAACAACACAAATTATTCAGACAATGCCAAACGTCAACAGCATTGGAGGACAAGTAATGATACGCCTCTGTACAGAGCATTTGTATGTCTTGCAAGAGCTGTAGTGGGAGTAACATTGAAAATGGCGCTTGCTGTAAGTGGATTCGGAGAATACCTTAAAGTATATATTTTTTTAAAACTTCGAGGAGAAGACTGACGGTCACGAAATACATAATCTGTGACTGACATAAGACTTGATGAATAGCGGTCGTATCAGGTGTGTTACCTTTTACCTTTCATGTAGACTCACGATAAAACAAATGAAATTCCAGCTAGTCATGAACTCTTTCTGCAGTTTATTCAGTGGGATGTCCACTGCGCCACCCACAGACATACTTCGGGGTGGGAGTCGAAATAATGATTAATATTTCGGAGAGGTGCATATGACATGCTCCAGGTTCAGGTGGATACACCTTACCCCTTGCCTCTCATGTAGATCTATGACTTTGTAGGTACGTGTGACAGATACCAACGGAAAAACAACAACTAACCCAGCTAATGCTGCGCAGAGAGTTGAAGTAAAACCATCAGGAACTTGTGCAACGTCTTCGATTTGGAAGATTCGTCGCAAGTTATTTCCCACTATGAAAAGCAGAATTTAATTTCATTTGGTCGATACGACCAACCGATAGACCAGTTTCGGGGTACTTGCTCATCATCTGTACCGGGCATGGTCTATTCAGAACGGTGTGAACCGTCTGAGTATCACGACCAAACAAATATAATTCCAGCTGCAGAGAGAGCCAGGTAACAACTCCACAAACGCATACTCCGGGGTGGAAGTTGGAATAATGATTAATATTCTGGAGAGGTGCATATGACATGCTCCAGGTTTCTGTCATGGAAATCACCTTCAGGCTTTAATAAGAAAAACTGATAATCATTTGAGTGAAATACATTCCTATTTATTTATTCTAATTTTAGACTTAACCAAGTCATTGGTTACATTGACCATGGGACTTATCATCCATATTGAACACAATCTCAAATTAGTTTCGAATAATTTTTCATTTTTTAGTTTGTGTTGCTAATCAAGCCTGTTTTTTTATTTTGTTTTTGAACTATTATCCATTATAATATGACATAATAACATTATGTATGTAATAACATTATTTCTTTGATAAAAACTGTTGTAATAAGTCATAATCAGGAATGAGATAACTTTTGCAAAATGTGAACTGGACGAACTATTCTAAGACAAGTCTCTTGGTAATTTTTTGTGTATTACGTTCGCTTTCCCATTTAGTAACGCCTGACCTTAATGTATTTAATATGATTGGAAGTTTATGGAAATAAATTATTATTATTATTAATAATGTGGGAACGCGCTTTAAAGAATAGGTGATATCGAGTGATTAAGGTGGGCAGTTATCAGGCATCAGAAGGCATCAGTTGGCTCAGTTATTCTTATTATTTTTTATATTATAGTATTACAAATTGGGAATTTAGAGAATAAAAAACTACAATGAAGTGTTGTGTTTCAATACAAGTGGTTCATCACGATTATCATTATATTGAATGATCAAATTAGACCCATGAAGAGAATCTGTATCAATGAACAAAGCAAGAATCTGTGACTGGCAAAATTTTGTTTGCATTGAATTTTGATAGATTTATTGGAAGCATTTCGATGTTTATTTTCATGAACTCTCAGTTTTTGCGTCTAATCATTTTTTTTACCTCTATGTCAAACATCTGGAGAATTATATATGTATCAAATAGGAAATATGTGGTATATGATACCAGTTCCAATGACATCACAAACATGGCAGCCGAAATCTTTTTTAACTCCTCTATATAAGAACCCTGCTATCAAACGATTTGTTACCACTCCGCCATTTTTGGTCAACCTCTTGGTTAACTGACTTGGGAAACGAAACATGCTGTTATTCTGAATGAAAATCGAAAAATAGTCCCTAGGAAACTCCAATGCCCTCTCTGTGAAACTGCGGAAAGTAACAATCATTTTGTCCACCAGTTACCGCCAGGAGTACATTTTTCAGCAGGTCTGAAAATTCGGCATTTTCAGTTTTGTATTATGAAAAAATAAAAATTTTGATTGCGATTTCAAATAATTTTCATAGCATGTACTTGTTGAAATGAAAAAAAATAATAACTGAGATACATAGGTGTTCTCTAATTTAGTACGATAATAAAATATCGAGTGGCAACCCTGCGTATGGCTTCTAAAAATGAATTATGGTATAATGACAGAAGAAATGTAATAGTTTTTTAAACTTAAAAAAAACGTGGAAAGGAATAAATAATAATGTTGGGGACTAAGCATCTTGTAAATCTGACCACAAGTGAAATAATCAATTATACGAAATACCAAACTGTACGATGGCGGAAGCCGCTTTGGATGGGTACTGCTAAAAGCAAAAAATTTAAAGTTCCGGCGAGGCCAGTAATTCCAAAAGATGAACATTCAGAACTGATGAGACTTCATAATAATTATCGTACACAAATCAATTCACTAAAAAAGTTTTTGTATTCTAAGCACAATATACGATATCTAGCAAGCGCTGATCCAGAGGAACAAAGACGAGGGTTTGAGAAAGATTACGAACATTGCACTGAAGTAAATGATGACTGGAACCGAAAGCAACAAATACTAAGGGAAAAATACTTTGCCGATAGACTGCAGGAAGAGATAACTTTCGCTGAGAAAAGAATTGAGACAGAACTTATCAATGCTGAGAAAAGATTTGAAGAATTTGAAGAAATCGTTAGAAAGGAAAAAGCAAACTCGAAGTATTTTATCCTTGAAGAAAATTTAGATGAAGCAATAGAAAATGCTTTGGCAAATCAAGTAGATTATAATTATGCCTTGGAATTGAATGGAGACAAATTTCTAGGAAGAGAACATGTTTTCAAAGAGGCTAAAGAAGAATTTAGTGCAAAACAGTAGGTGATTTGTATTTTTGAAAATAAATAGATTTTTTACATTACTTTTTCTTTTTCTACTTCAGTTTTGCTCTGATGGAAATTTTAAATTAAGCTTAAAAAGTGACTTGAGAAATAATGTAAGTACATAACGTTAGGGTTTCTGCAGGCATTGAACTCGGTATTTAAACAAGTTATGTGATAAATAACATTCAAAAGAGGAATCCTATAAAATTCTTGTAAAGTTGGGGTTATTAAATCAATTTAAAAAAAAGACATCATCATGGAACAAACAACTCCAATATCTCCAAAAATTTTGGAAAATAACTGAATGAAATGGTCCAATCTTCCCAGTTTGGATGAATGAAAAACAAATCACTAAAAATGCATTGTCATGTTTCAACTTTTATTCATCGCTCACTAGACAAGATACCAGCGTTTTGCATATTCCTTTATTTTAAGTAAGAGTTCTTCACAATTGTTCCCAAATTCTATTAGGTAATTGAATAACGATAATAATTGTAGTTTGTTGAACAAAATAACAATGTTGCTCAACTGGCTATTTACCGAAGTCCTTCTGCTCATGTAACAAAATTGCTTTGAAATTACATGACTTATTTCACAATATTACACTAAAAAGAAAATTATATGTATTATAAAAAGAAATTAACAATTTCATTAATACAGCTGTTAGTGTTTCTAGAAGTGCTTCTGTTGAGTGTCGATGTTGTACTCTTGCATAGGGGTTTCTTGTCACAGTAAACTTGTGAGTAATGATAGTCTTTCCTCAATACGGATAATATCAGTGAGTTGGTACATCAGAGGGTTTGGTGGGTTGTGTTTGGGGTTATTGGGATGCCTCAATCTTGTTATTTTCCTAATAGCTGTTGTTTCAGATATTTTGATTGTTTTCAAGGCCCTTTGATATTGAGAAACAGGGGGTGCGAGTATTCGATAAGTGGACGACAGATTAGTTTATATATTCGGCTTACTGTTAATATGCTTGTACCTGCTCCTGGGTTTGTCAAACTTGTGAAATGTGCGGCTCTTGCAATCACTTCATTCTTATGTTATTGACGTGGCTGTTGAAATTTAGACTGGAATTAAGTGTAAGACCTAGGTAATTACCTGTTGATTTTGCATGTAAGATATGTTGATAAATATTGATTGTTGGAGAAGTTGTGGAATTCCGATGATCAAAGATGATGAACTGAGACTTAGATGGGTTTGGCTGGAGCCTCCATTTATTGAACCAATTATTTATCGTTGCAAGATACAGAAGATACATGTTACAGAATGCTATTCTGGAATAGGTACTCTGTATCTGCAGCTAGAAAGAAAGTGTGGTGGTATTTTTTATGGGTAATTTCTTTCATAAATGGTGAGAAGTTCTTGATTTGTTGATTTCTGGATTGGAATTAATTCTGTTATCTCTTGTTTTTGTGTAGGTTGATGGATCAGAATTATATAGTTGGGTGAACCCATAATAATTCGTTGAATTTCTTCTGGATTTGGTTTCTTCTTTTGGAGGCACTTTCTAGGCATCTTCTTGGTTTTCATTTATGCTTCATTTTTCTCCATTGCACATCATCCTGAATTTCCATTTCACAGTAGTATTCCTCTGCTTGGGTATCCATAGTTATTTTAATCAGCTATTAAAACAAAGTCGCTTCCCGCTGTCTGTCCCTATGTATGCTTAGATCTTCAAAAGTACGCAACGAATTTTGATGCGGGATTTTTCAATAGATAGAGTGATTCAAGAGGAAGGTTTATATGTATATAACATGCATAATATAGTAGAGAAACACTGATAATTTACTAGCGCTTATATTACAAACGATGGCTTAACACTACGAAATACATTTTGAATTTCATATAGATCAATATGGCCATTTACACCATGTAATTTAAGTGAATATTTTCGAAGGTATTACACATTCAAAATGCAGGGATATAGCGGTTTCGACGGTACCGGCCGGAGGGCTATACGTAATACCAAATTATTTCAAAATTATTAGTGAATTACTAATTGTAGTACAATACAATACTTTCTATCACTCTCTAAAATAACATAATTCACACAATTTTATTGAAATATAAAAAAATATTTTGAGTTTTTAACAGTCTTTTATGTAATTCAAATTTAATTTAGTCCCAATTAAGTTTAGGTATTGCTTTGAACATATTAAAAATCATAGAATACTGGGATTATTTTAATTCGAGTCTGTATGGAATCTCATAGAAGGAAAGAGAAAAAAAAATATATTTTTCTATATATTAATGTTTCATGTTTTTTAATATTTTTCAACTGTTATGGTTTATTTTTTACGAGAGGTCATGGCCTATACTGTTATTTGATCATTCAAAATGTGTTTAAGATGTTTTAAGATTTTCTTGAACTTTTCTGTTCACCAGTGCGTTCCAGTTAAATCGTGCCACCCTGAATAAGTTTAGTCATTTGATATTCAAACTGTAAAATAACCGTGAAATCCGACAACTTTATTTTTCAGGGGTACATATTTCTACATGAAAATCAAGCCCAATCAATCAATCAATCAAAATATACTTTATTGTCGAAAAAACTCTTGTTTTATTTACAAAGTAGAATATACACGTACAGAAATAAAATTTAGGCAAAATACACACAATTATGTAAAATATAAATAAAACAGAATAAAAATAAAATTGTTATGTAAACAAGCAGTATATAAACATATACATTAATCAATTATACATTTTATTCAATAGAATAAGTGTCAATGAATAAATAAAATATCAATCATAAAATGTAATTTGAACATTTCGACAATTTTACGACTTGTAATTTAACAGTTTAATCGAATATGCTATACAGTACCCACAATAAATTACGGATGACAGTTCACAATTTCACTGGAAGTTGTCATTGTAAAATTCTTGCTCGCGAGAAGTTTTTTGTGTATTTTCTAAAGCTATCAATACAATCGTGGCTATTTCTAAAATGAGACGGTAAGTGATTATACATTTTAACACCGTTATAGAAAATGGAGTCCTTTACTAGGGATGAAGAAGGCAATGGTAATTTAAAATTATTTTTAGATTTTAGGCGAGTGCTATGACATGAAGAAATATATTCAAATTTTGACCTATGTTTGTGTATAAGACACGAAGTTCCCATTATAAAGAGAGCCACAACTGTCAATATATTTTTTTTTCTGCAAATAACTGCCTACATGAATTGCGCGGTCATAGTTTGAACACATATCTAATGACTCTTTTTTGCAGTTTAAGTACTGAATCTAGCAGACTAGAGTTACATACCCCCCAGAAAGGAATGGCATATCTCAGTTGAGATTCAATTAATGCATAATGTCGCGTCTTCGAATACTTAAAAAATAATAGAAATGAAAACAAGAGTGGAGTGTAAGAATTGTGGCATAAAGCGAACTCACCGAATTCCTAGCACAAATCCCTGCTTCTGAAAGGGCCCTTTCTTGGAGTGTTCTTTCTTCAGCTTCACTGGATTGAACAACAAAACGGGAAGTTAACAGGAGTTACCAAACAGTCGAAGATGACACAGAGTCTAGAGCACACACGGCGAAATAAGTAATTAGCAAAAATAATAGCGATTCACATAGCGTACTTAGCATGAGATCGTAGGTAGGTCTTTATTCATATGGTTTTGATAGATAAGCATACTTCAATTGAGTTTTGAGCATGCGCCCTTAGAAGTCGCTCCATGCCAACAATAATAATAGTAATAAAAACAGAAAATTACAAATAAAGACGCAACACATAACATGCGTTCATAGCCGTGGCAGTACCAAGTTCCCTTGAAATAATTCTCATTGCATAGCACCCTGAGGATATTTTATTCTTCAATTGGTTGACGTGTGCTTCAAACTTCAAAAATTTTGTGCAATCTTTATTTTCAATTTTTTCATTTTCTAGAGGCATATCTTCTAAAGTACATTTGAAAGTTATTATATTTGTTTTTTATATCAAAAGAGAGAAGATTCGAGTCGAACCAAGACTTGATTACATTAATATCTCTGATTATCTTATTATTCAGATCTTCAACAGTTTTACTATGCCATAAAATGGTGGTGTCGTCAGCAACTAAGGTAATTTTTCCAGAAGTATTTATACACATTAATCATTGATATATACAAGAAAAAGAGTGGGTCCCAAAACCGATCCTTGGGGCACTCCTTAATCTATAATAATATATTTTGAAGTTATATCACCTTTTACGACTTGACTGCGCCCAGTTAGGTAGGATTCGAATCAATCCAAAGTAACTCCCTCACAGCCGTAGCAATGTAGTTTCCGCAAAAGTATTTTGTGGTCTACACAGTCAAAAGCCTTTTTTAGGTCACAAAATACTACTACAGCTACATCTCCGGCATTTATATTTGAATATACCTCATACAGAAAGGAAAAAATTGCATCTTGGACGTTCTTTTTAGCATGAAATCCGAATTGATTTTCTTTGATGATTTTATGAGCAATAAGGAATTCATTGAGCCTTTTTTCCACTAATTTTTCAATTATTTTTGCTAGGCTCGGGATAAGTGATATTGGACGATAGTTTGAGGGATCATCTAAGTTTCCGCCTTTGTGCTAGGGAATTATCACAGACTTTTTCAAGAATAAAGGAAATTTACCGTTGCGAAACGAAAGATTAATTAATGCGACAAGGGTTTCAAGCGCTACTCTTGGAAGATTCTGAAATATATTCATGGAGATGTCATGATGATTTTTTATTCCTAATATCCCTAAACACTTCGATAATTTCATCAAAACTAGTATCCTATAATGTAAAAGTATCTCCTGTATGACAGTTATGAACATTGATAAGAGGGTCGTAAGGGACAATTATGTTATTATTGAGCTTGCAAGCAATTGAACAGAAGAAATCATTGATCTCGTCTGCACTGATTGAAATTTTAACACTGTTCCTTTTTTTAGGATTCTCTCTCAGGTCATTTACTATGGACCACGTCTCCTTCATTTTATTATTCGCAGAGTTAATTCTATTTTGGAAATAGTTAGATTTAACAAGCTTGAGAATAGTTCGGTAAATTCTACGGTAGTCATTAAAGTAGGCATGGAAATCTGGATTTGAGCTGAATTTTCTTATATAACTAAGGGACCGTAGATTTTTTGAGGACGTCTTAATTCCAGGTGTTATCCAGGGTTTTTTACGTTTTTTTTTTAATTTTCTGTGTAGGAAATGATACATTGAAAAGTTATGAAAGTTGGTTATGAAAAGCAACGAATGGCTTATTAAAAAGTAAGCTGAGCTATTTCCTCAAAACAACGCATATTTCAAAAATTTCAAACAAAAATTGTAGTAGGTTAGGTTAGGTTAGGCCCAAAGTGAGTGGGTCTATTCGACTCTCCACAACCCGCAAGGGTTGCCTGCCCCAGCGAGGCAGGTACAAAGTATGTGCTCTGCTGTTTTATCATTTTCCAAACAGAGGCGACATACACTGTCTTCCGACAGTCCGAATCTCTGCATATGATGATTCAAATGACTGACCTGTAAAAAGACCTGTTAGACATACTAGTTCATCTCTACTGTCCGAGAATATTTTCATCGACTTGTGTATAAGGTTGGATTCTTCCAATCTCTCCGCACACATTTAAATAGCGTGAATTTCCACTTAAAATACACTTGCATAGGTTCCTAGGCATATTGGTATGTCTGTCCTGGGTCTGGGACTAAAAACGCCTGAACCAGAATTGGAAGGTGTTTTTGATCCATCTGTGAACCAACAACAACCTGCTTCCTTCTTCCGGAGGATCCATTCCCCTCTACACGGGAACAGTACTTTATAAGGTAGTTCGTAATTGATAGTTGGAGGCATAAAGTCAGAAGTCATTTTCAGAATGTTGTGACTTCTAGTCTGTTGCACTCTGCATTGAATTGCAGTCCATCTAGCCTCTATCTCTCCAGAAAAATTTGGAGAGGAGGTTTATCTAGAAGCCTGTCTCTGTGAGCCAGAGAGCTTCGCCTGCACCGTTTTCTGTAAAGTCTTCGGCCACCAGGCAATTGCACCATAAGTGATCATTGGTCTGACATTCATCACATAAATCTAATGGATTTATTTGGGACCTAAACGTTATTTTACTAACAGAAATTTGAAGCTCTATATTAGAAAGACCATACAAAATAAGCAATTATCCTCAAAAAGAAATAATAACACTGAACGTTACAATTAATTTGTTTACTGCACTTAGTATATTATTAGCCACAGAAATAAACTTGATTACTTTGAATCGTCTGCCAAAAAACCTGGAATTCGTCTATTAAGACCTATATTAAAGAAACAGATGTAGAAGCTCACGCCAGACTTTTTTGATGGCTCCATGCCATCAGTCAAACTGAATGGAAAAGAAAGATTCAAAGTAGAAACCTCTATCCTCATAATTGGTGGTTCATGTTTGTTCATCTAAAGCAGCGATTAAGTTCGTATAAAAATATTACTCAACGTTTTGGTTTATTTTTTCGCTTGAAAACTCTGAATTCCGAAGAATTGAGACGAAGTTGTAAATAATTTGATGAAATCTATTATGAAGATGTAAGCGAGAAAGAGTTAGAAATGGAATGTTTGCATTCAACAGAATACTTGGAAATTCGAAGTAAAAATGAAGATTCTAATAGTATATCATCATATATATCATCTTTCGAAAGAGAAAAAAATTGAAGACACCTTTCCTAATGTAGAAATCGCAATGAAAATCTTTTAAGCATGATGGTAACTAACTGCAGTGGGGAACGTTCCTTTTCTATAACGAAATGAATAAAAAATTAATTAAGAATTAAGAGAGATCGAACACTTTGTCGCTAATGTCATTATGCTTGAAAACACAGATTTTGGTTAACGATTTTATGATGCACTGTTTGGAACCTTTGGTGTAGTAATGAATATTACTGGAGTTTTTTCCCAACACCAAATCGTTATTTTTAACACCTCGACACGTGTTTCGATCACCAAGTGATCATCTTCAAAGAGATCAATATTGCCTATCCAAATTTATTTTTGCAATATGTCCTTATGTAGTAATCACTAAACCCAACATTATTTGAAATTGAAAAATAAATGAAAAAATAGTAGACAGAAAAACAAAAGATAAACTGCAATAACACACCACAAAAGAGAGCATAAACGGTATCCAATTGAACTATCTAGCTGATTTCAAGTGCAGTTTCAGTTTTTTCTTGAAGTTATATAACGTGTAGTGTCTGAACTCACTGAGAAGTGCATTGCAGAGGACAACTGTTTTAGAGTGACTCTGTGTTTCAAATGTTGCGTATCTTTCAAATAAATAAATATTGAGGTTTCTTTTGAGAGATCAATTTGTGAGTTGCAACAAGGAGGTGCAGTTGCCTAATTTTAATCAGTCTGAGCCAGCCAGATTCCTCAAATTTAGCGGAGATATGATCAAACTTTCTTACACCATAAGAGAACCGTATACAGTTGTTCTGAATTTTCTGGAGGCGTTGTATGTCCGATTGTATTATGGCAAACCCATAGATGATATCACAGTAAGAGACAAACATCGATCAGATCTTCAATTTCAGTCCTTTTTCGTTTCGTACCTATCAGTAACAGTTGGGATTTAGTCGTGTTCAGTTTCAGATTGTGAGCAGCTGACATGTGCGAGAGATTTTCCAGATCCTGATTGACTTTATGAACAGCTTCTTGCCAGTTATTTTTACTGAATGAATAGTATATAGTATCATCTGCGTAATGATGTATAGGCAGTTATTTATTATGTTATGGAAATCCGAGTTGTATATTGAAAACAAAATCGGAACAAGAATTGATCCCTGAGGGACTCCGAAACAAACTGGTAAGGCATCAGAATATCTACCATCTATACATACAATCTGCTTACGATTTTGTAGGTAACTCCCTAATAACTTAACACTGTTTTTATCAAATCCAAAATACGAAAGCTTCTTACAGAAAAGTGTATGGTCCATTGTATCAAATGCC